AGCCCTGTAAGCCTTCAAGGGTCCCTTGTAAAGAACATTCTAAAAGGGATCCAAGCCGGGAAGTTCCATTACTGCTTATAGCAGTACTGCCCACTATAATATTAATCTGTAAGGCAGTAAGTAGGGCACTTAGTAGTACCCACTGAAATGGTGAGAAAACACACAAAACAACCACAACACCACAAATATACCCTCAACAGGTCTCAGAATGAACACACCTGCGTGACAGTGACTCGCTCGCAGGCCGCACTTCACGTAGGACAAAGAAAAGACACTATGGGCTCGCAGGCCACATAATAAGCACCGGATTGGCCTGATCAGAGGGCCAGAATTGCCTGCACGCGTGCAAGGCACAAAATACGAAGAAAAGAATAAAAGTCGATGTCCTGTGTAAAATAGAATGTCCGAAGCAGACCGCTTATATACATGACCCCTGAACCCCTGAGTCCTCTGAGAGCCCCGCTTCCTTACTCATACTCTCAGGCCTGTGGCCGCACCCCAAACCACCACACATTAACAATTATTATTTAAACTAATTTTTGAAAGGAAACTATACCTTATAGCCGGCGGTAACCTGCCGGTAATAATATTTTTTATTTTTCGGTAATTAAATTAATTAAAATTATTTATAATAATAATATAGTATTTTTAAATAAATTAAAATAGTTTAAATATATTATAAAAATAAATTTATAAATATATAAAAAATAATAATATTATTAAATATAAGTTTTATAACGAGTTTTCGATCAGGTTTATTGATTTAATTAAATTATCAGTTCGCATTTAAAACGCCTCTTATTTATAATATTAATTCCTTCTTTTAAAATAACCCCTATTTACCTATTTACTTATATCTTTAGTATCCCGTTGACCAGGACTCGGCGGAGTGTTCTTTAATGTTTGCATGCAGTCGTGGCGGAAGCAGTCCTCCACTGAGGTTTGGCCGGTGTATAAGCTGCTTCTTAGGTATATATGGGATTGGTACTCTCTTTTGGATAGTCTTGCCTTTTAAGTCTACATTATAGTTCGAATTGTATAGGTATTTCGCCAGTCATGCTCTGAACCTACATAGACTTGAATGGAGGCCCAATGAACTTGTGTCCGAAAAGAAAAGGAATCCAAACCAGAGCCACTTTCACTAAACCACCCCCCAAGCTGATCAGAGCCCTGTGTAAGAACACCGCAATCATTAGCCCCCCTGCTCGAGGTGTCTTCCATCTCTTCCCGCCTATCTGCGTCCCATTAGAAAATTCCAAGAACCCCAAGACCGGTATGTGTTTGTGTGCCCGACGGGGACAAGTGATAGTCAATGCCGGCAGGCAAATGGTTTGGTCGCAAAGAATGCTGCACCAATGTAGGTAAGTAGTTAGCCACCCAAACACCTGCAGGATTTCTTCGAGTCGTACTTGCCTACTGCGTGGTCTTGATAACCGGGTTGAAGCGTTCTAACCCGCCCTTGTAGCGGCCTGCCCCGCGCAGCCTCTGCACGAGAGGGTTGGCGCCTTGAAAGGAATTTGTATTTGGTGAAGAGTTCCATCTTGCCTTCTCTTCATCAAGGGGATACAGTTTGATGTCCTCCTTCTCAGTCTTATCAGGTCGAGCTCCTGGGTCTTCATCTGCACCAGCAACCTTCGTCCCGGGCACAGGATTGTCTCTTTCATACTTATCCAGGCCAGCGAAACCCTCGGTGTTCAGCTTCCAGAGCATCTCGCCTGCTCTCTCCTTGTCGGTAGCCCTGATGGCACTAATTCGGGCGACAGTTGCTTCGTGTTGCTTCTTGAAAATCAACTCGCCGATGTCACGCCCGTTCTTGAATGCATTGTCCAATTCCTTGTTGTGTGCCTTCACATTTTCATTGTTCTCGTAGAGACTGTGCGCCGCGTTCAACCCCATCTTCAGCACCGTGCCTGCGAAGGGAACGAGCTCCAGCGCCGTACCTAGCACGATGACTGCCGCCTTGCGAGCAATCTTTCCTGAGAATTTGTTCCACAGGCCTTTTATAATACCTTCTTCCTTCTTCAACTTGTTCTCAACCAACTTTCGGAAGGCATTGATGTTCTCCGGTGTGTCCAGAGTGCCCACTATCTCGCTGCCCGCGATGTCGCCTAAAATCACCTGCCGGCTGTTAATCTCAGGCTGATCCCCCGTGATGCCTCCCTTATCTTGCGGCTTCTCTGGCGATACCTTCTTGCCGCTGGTTCCCTTCGGGTCAACCCAATTGACCGGATCATTTCGCACGTACGAGTAGAGATTGGGACCATCAACCGTCCCAGCAGGGTCCGCAGACGTCCACCGGCCAAGCCATGGGCAGTAGTATCGTTTTCCGCAGTGATACAACCCAGTCTCTCTGTCATGCTCGTAGCGGGCAAGTCGGTACTTCCTCGGGGCTTCCACCTCAACATAGACTGCCGAGTAGACCACACTGCCAAAGGGAGAGTATTCCTCATACGACACCAAGTTGGCCTCATCATCAAGCTCGAGGTTGTCTCCAACCTGGTACCGTGCCAAAGGGGTCTGCCGACTGCTCCCCGTCTCTACCAGCGCCAACGTCTCGTTTCCCATGACCTTGGCAATCCACAACTCTGTCCCATCGCTCTTGGCTTGCACCTCCACCCCTCCGAGATAGAGTGTATCCCTCAACTTGCGTGCATCCCCACTCACGCCAGCAGTAGACTCAGTTACCTTGCGCACACGAGCTCCAGCATGATCGTAGACGTAGTAAGTTCTCTCTGGCGTGCCTTGGTTGACGCGCTGAGTGGAAGAGAAGGAGAGCATGTTGTGCATATTCCAGCCGAGCTCGGTGAACTTGGGCAGGGTTGTCATGCACCCGGCAAGACCAGCATCGCCCTCGTAGGCATATCTTACTTCGTCTTTGTTGCCAATAGTGGTCCTGCTGAGACGGTTGCTTTTGACTTTCGGGTCGTTGCTGAGGAGACTCTGTTCTTCGTAGAAGTAATTTCTTGCCCAGCCGCTCACGCCGAGGTTGCTTGGGGCCTCGTGTTTCATTTGCAGGATGTTGCCTTCGATGTCGTACTGGTATGTTTCGCGGTATTGGTAGAGGAGGTTGCCGTCTGTGATGCCAGGGGAGGGGTTCAGACCATTGAGAGAGCTGTGAGACTTGAGCTGATTCGACGCGGAGTCGAGTGCTGATGAGAGCTGTGCCCTGCCGGTGGCAGCGGATAGTCTTCCGGCTACATCGTACGTGTAGTCCCACTCGGGCTTGGCCCAACTGCCGTGGAAGTATCTGGCCTGTTCAGAGCTGTCGGTCATGAAAACCTTGCGGCCGTCGCAATCGTAGTGGTATGTGAAGTCTTCAAGAACTTCACTTCCCTTGCGTGATTTTCGGGTGGATTTCTTAGAGATAAGATGTCTCTTGTCGTCATAAGAGAAGTTTGTCGCCGCGCCGTTACCATAGGTGACGCTAGATGGAAGGCCGTCGGCCTCGAATGTTGCCTTTGTTAGATACGGCGTCCAGACTTCAGTTTTGGCGGACATGAACTCCACACGCTCAACGCGCCCTTGTCGATCGTAGGATTTGCGTGTGTGGCTGTCCTGGGCGTCCTTTTCTTCAAGGACTTGGCCGAGCTTGTTGTACACCCAAGTTTGAGAATAAACCGTGTCCTCCAAAGCATTAGTCCTGGCCCAGTCGACCACGTGTTTGTACTCTTGCGTTGCCTGAAACGTTTCCTCGAGACAATGTCCGTGGATGTCAAAACGGAGACTCTGACGAACACCTGACTGGTCCTCCACCTTGATGACCTGGCCCTTGAGGTTGAGCTTCGCGGCGTCGGGAACACTCTCCCCGTAAGTGAATCTGACAATGATACTGGGTGCCTCCGAATGCTTCTGCGCCAGCCGTTTAGTCTCCCGGCCCAAGGCGTCGTAGTGAGTCTTGAAAGAGTACCCGCGGCAGTTCCATGAGAGGAGATCCCCGCCTTGGGTATCCTGAAGGGACCATGATTCACCTTCGTCCATCCCTGTTGTCTGCAGAAGGTGGCCAAGATTGTTGTAGATCATCTTGGTAACGGCACGGTCGTACGAGTCGATGTCAAGTGTCTTGTTTCCGTTGACATCATATACAAAGCGACGCGTGTACGTCTCCCCGCCTGCTTTGCGTATTGTCCGAATGGGCAGACCGCAGCTGCCGATGTGTGTCACCGTTGGCGCATCTGCAAATATGGCTGATTTGGCAGCGGCTCGCTTGTCTTGAACCGTGCCATTCTGGTGTGCATCGTACCAGCTTGGTTGGTACCTGGCTGTCGAAATTCTGGCAAAGAAGTATCCCACGTCGGCATCTTGAGGTCGAGACTTGAGGACCAAGTCACCTGCTGTGTAGTCTGTCTTTGTCCAAGGAGCATGCACAGTCTTCGACCAGGTGGCGTCTGGAGATAGTGAGGCGACAGAACGACCCATAGCATCGAAGAATGTAGTTGAAGCACACGTCTTCATGCGGGAGGCAGGGATAGGTGTCGGCAAGCTGGCAAAGCAAGGCTGAAAGGTGCGGATGGCATGGCCGTGGCTGTCTGTGATTACCAGGCCGGATATATGCCACTTTTTCTCGAAGGAATCAGGATCACTCAACTCCGCTTCTTGGAATGAAGCTCCAAGTCCGGTCATGTAAGAGATAGTGATGTGGATCTTGGGACATTCTGATCTGCGGAAGGAAAGATCGCGGCTGATCCGAATGGAAAACGCCGGCGCGAGAGGGCTGGCTTCTGTGGCTGATACCTGGCCCGATTTGATGATGGTGTCGTTCGACTGACGCGCTTTCCACAGGGCAAAGTTGTTGATGCAATGAATCGTCCTGCTTTCCGCATTGCCAAGAGCACGCCGAGCAACTTCTCCAGTTGGATCGAGAAGGATGTCGTCCACGTCACTGGCACTGACGTCCAGTGCAAGATCCTGGAGGTCATCCACATCCTCCTCGTCTGGTGCCCCCTTGCCGAGGTTTGCCGTGGCGATAACCCGTCCCAATGGATCAAGAACAATCTGCTTCGCATTGAGATTCATGTCGACGATCTTCACCGGCTGCAGGTGCTGGTAGTCATTTTCGAACGAGATTTTGTTGCCGATTGCATCTTCGATCTCGAAAGCCAGGAGAAAGTCACGGTCCATCGTGATTCGGGATATGTTACCGAATGGGTCGACGAAGAATGACGGGGTATAAAAGCATCGCCGGGCTTCCTCGAGTTCCTTCCTTGTTCCCGCGCCACCCCTGGGGTCGCTGAAGAGGGATCGAGAAGATGGGATCCACCAATAGTCACCCTCATCTCTGAGCTTAACGTACTTCCCTCCGGCCAGTATGTCCTCAATAGAACCTGGAACCTGGCAATTCTGGAGACCGAGCTGGATCTTGGCAACGGTGTCTGCCGTGAAGGCAAGAGTGTAGGTCTGATCCAACAGAGAGTACGCTTGCAGGATACCCTCCCCAAGACGTTCCTTAAGAAGAGAATCTCGGTAATACGCTCTGTTCTCCGTCCGCAGAGCTTTCCATGTCCCCGTCGACTTTGAGCTGGGTAGCCCCTGGAAGTCGTACTGGCGAGCTGCCTCAATCCCGAAAACCTTCCCGTTGAAGGGGAAATTGAGGATCTCATGTTCTTGCTGCTTCCAAGTCGCTGGTTTGCGGAAGATGTAGGGTTCTGCGACGTCGTTCGTGAACCAGCACCGCGTATGCGAAACGTTCCCAGCCCTTTGGTTTTTGGTGACATCGGCAAAGCTGGTATCAGCATTCCTTGGGTAGACAATGCGTAGGCTCTCCTCGACGTCACCATATTGTGTGGTCTTTATGGTGATGTCATGTGTGATGCGGGGATCCGTCATGTCTCTTTCGAAATCCGTGGTGTAGGTTTCTCGGGGGCACACTTGGACCACAGAGTACTTGCTGGAGCCTCGCGACTGAAGCACCTTGAGCTCGTGCGAGGTCTCCTGGATCTGAAATGGTAGCCCAGAGCGATCTGATCCGTCTAGACTGTATGTCTCAGAGCGTAGGCTAACGCCTGTGAGTGCGTGAAGGCATTCATTGGGATAGTCGTCTTCGTCGCGTAGGCCTTTCACCCTCGATGTGATCGCAGGCTTGGTGAAGAAGCGAGATCCATCGATCTGCAAGCTAAGACCAACGCTGAACCATGACTTTGTATGAGTGACCGGGGGTTCGTATATCTCGTTGTCGCCGATAATGAGCTTCTCCGAGTGAAAGGCCTCGACCATCTCGAAGCCGGCAAATTGTTTCTCAAGCGGATTGTAGCAGCCGTTGTGATAAACGTACTCGGTGCAGATGGAATTTCCGGTAATGGCGTCACTCGCTTCAACCTTCGACACGCACTGGATGGGACTGGACAATTTGGTCGACCACGGCAGCCCCCGGTTCGCATCGTCGACATAGAACTTGGTGGAGGGGGTGTAGGTTACCGAATTTGTCAAGCCCAAACCGTTGCTATAGCTGTGCAGAAGATGCGGCTTGGTGTCTCCCATCAGATCAAGGTATTGAATCGTGTCGGCCTGGCCTACTGTATCATTTGTCCAGCACAGGCAAGCTGTTCCTTTGCCAAGGAGGTCCAGAGTAAACACAGAAGAAGGGGTAGCGAGACCGGGGAGCTGAGGGATAAAGATTCGGTCACTCCAAAAGTTTCCAGCGAGGTTGTAATAAAGAGCCGCACCACCTGTAGGGAGAATGTAGAGAATATCAGTTGTGCCGCTGCCGTCCATGTCGATGAGTCGAAGCCGTGCGTGATCAAAGTCGCCCGCAGCAGCAAGCACAGGTGGGTTGCCCATTTCCACGGCAGGGCCAAAGGTACCATGCCCGAAATTGGGCCAGTAGGTCACGGAAGTTGCGGATATCTCAACCAGATCCGTGAGACCAGTACCAGTCATATCGGCAACGTAGGTCTGCACATCCAAGGTGCGAGTGAGACGTGGCTGAGACGTAAAGCACTTCTTGCCGTAGGTGCGTTTGTATCCAGAAAGGCCTTTTTTGCCGAGGTTCTGCTGCCACACCAACCCTTGCGAGTCGTCCTTGATGCACAGAACATCTGCAAGCCCGTCACCTGTTAGATCGATCTCCAGGGTATTCTGCCACGTCTCCGTTGTTGGCGTCTCAGGGAAATCAGAGTAGGTGCTCCACGTATCAGAGTCGCATCTCTCGTAGTAACCTTGAAGCCGGTTCTGTTTATCGTGGAGGACATAGTTGAGGTGGCCGTTGCTGTCGAGGTCTTGAAAGGTGCCGCCAGCCATGCTGGGATGCTGTGCAACTACAATAGGGGCGCCGAACAGCGGTTCGTCGGAGGGAGAGGAAGATATCAGGCCAGAGTTGCGCTGGTAACAAAGAGTTCCATCTCCGTATCTCATCAAAAGACCGGGCATGCCTTCACCGTCCAGGTCAAGCCATTCCAGAACTTGGGATTTGGAGTCCGGCAGCCCGAGCAGGTTAAAAACATTGGGCTGTATGGCTGCTAAGCTGCTGGGATTGGGCGTGGAGGTATACATGAACGAAAATTGAGGTAAATTCTCGGACCTGCACTGGGTGCTAGAAGAGGTTGTACTTTTGTCCATGGAATGGCCGCTCATGGTGAAAGATGTGAGCACCGAGCGTTGTGGTGACTCTTCGTATCCCAAAGATGTCGACGAGACCAAGTTCTCGGGCTGACGGTTCTCCTCAGGAAAGTGGTGGAACATGAGAATGCGTCTGCACAACCGATATGTGCGAACCTCGAAGCCTGCAAGGGAATGGGAGAATGCATCCTGACGGACTGGCCAGCCTCGGGATTCGACAGTGCTTGGGTTAGTTTCATCATGCTCTCCGTAGTCAAACACTACCTCGAACATCCAGGCTCGAGGCCACGTTGACGCCTCCCATGTTGACAGATCACGGTTGGGCACCCTGTTACCGTACTTGATCCACTTGATGTACTTCTGGCGGCGTCTCGCATCATCTGAGCGGTTCTGCTCCCATGTGGGAAGGGATCCATCAGCATCAGCCACGCCTTTGGCATCCTCCTCTTTGTAAATGTACTCGATTGCGTTTCCAGAGGCATCGTAAGAACGGCTCAGCATCCAGGAGTAGACACGTCTCTTTCCATCCGATGTGTCCACTATGCGGCTGCTGTCGGAATCGCCAAAGATGGACGTGACATTTTCCGAGGATAGGGTTCTCCAATGGATGTCAGAAGAATCAGCCCTACGTGTCCATCTCTCGATCCGCGTGGCTCCAGTGTCGACCCTTGGGCGATAAATGGTGACGTCAAACTCGCCCCAAGATTCGGACACCAATCTAGCGTAGGGAGTTCCATCACTTTTGAGGTGCTTAACAATATCCATTCCCGAGAAGATCAGATCATCTTCATCACTGCCACCATCCAGGTATCTTGGAACACCAAATGCTGTCTTACGATGGATGGACGGCAACGATACGCTCCAGCCAAACCCGAATGGCCCGTTGCCCTCTCCGGAGCTATACGAGAGCCCAAGTTCGGGTCCAAACCCTCCACGACTCTGGGATGTGCGAATGGGCAGGGAAAATGACAAAGTGCCGTTGGCCGGGTTGACTGAGAAGTTCTCGTTGATGGGTTTGAACGCGCCGCCTCCTTTACCAGAACTGTCAAAAGAGGTGCGAAATCCAGGGATACCTTCACCCAAGGTACGTGCATGGGGTGCGAATGAATGTGCTGAAGGGACTCCCGACGAATGGTTTTGTCCTTCAGCAGCACGATTCTGACCTTCGGACAGCCTCGACGACGGCATTTTGTTATGTCCAGACCCATGGCCACCATGGTCTTGCATCGGCCGGTGAGGGACTGGAGGCATTGCTACGGCTTCTGAGAAGCGATGGTCAGTAATTGCGTTGATAGTAGGATTTGGAATTGCAAGCTACCTTGGGTATTGAACAAACACGATGATCGAAAGACGGAGCTGTGTATCTGGAGAGATGAACTTGTGCCAGCAAGTGGTTCGTGATTGTGTCGCTACTTAAGTGACATGCAGCAACTAGGTAGTTACGGATTCTCTTTCAAGAATGATCAGTCCCAAACTTCAACAGCAACTTGGCCCATGTGCCAGAGTGTGTGAAGACCTTCCAGAATAGGCAAACCATTTGAACACGTCCTCTCCGAAAAGGTCCGGCAGCTAGGTGGGTATCCCGGAAAGCAAGCTGCTCATACTGACGTCGATACCACTGCTAGTAATCCTCCAGCCAGCCACCGAGGAGGGAACAGTCCGAAGGAAGTTGTTGTGGTTAGACTGTATCTCATGGCTGGCTGAAAAGTTTCATCACAACATGGATACGGTACATGTGATCATGGATCTGCGGAACATTAACTCCATTTTTCTTTTAATGTAGGTCTAGACTTCTGTCTCCTTTCGTTTTAGTCAAGGTTGGGACAAACTAATGCAGAATGGCCACATGATGCAACTGTGAAGAGCTTTAGGAGGTACGCGCCAAGAGCTGAACGACCCAAAAGGTGATGAAGCCGTCACATGAAGCGCCTCAACTACGAAATTGACAGGGTGCCGCGGCACTTGAATTCCGCACTGTGTAAGGTACTCTTTTATTGTTACAGGTGATACAGACACACCCCATGAAGGATCACAAGTTGGAACGTCAAAGGGACGGTGATAGACTCGAGTAGCGTCAGATCAACAACTTGTCCGACTATGAACTATCTTCCCAATTGGACGAGAAGTCGGATTTGAGGAGAAATGTAGAATCAGGTGCCAATATCCATGCCAAAAGGGCAATCGGCTGTGGTAGCAGATGAGCTGAACATCAAACAAACAGAAGCACGTCGTATGCGCAACCGACTACAGTGAGAGAGCAGGAGAGCGGCCGGTGTGAAAGACGTGACGAAGAGATAGCCCGCCCACACAACGAACGGCCAGGTCAATGAACTGTGCATAGATGCCTCCCCCCCCTTCTGTTCCGCTTGCTTTGTCTCTCTCCCCGTTATCCTCTGACAGAATCAACACTGCTGGAGGTATCTGACCGCATATACACTTCGTTCGCAGATCCATTGCCACCATGTCCAACACCAAGGTGCGTTGTCCAGGACAAGCCCGTCGAACTGTCCGCCTTGCTGAACTCTTGATGCTAACCCGAGGATTTGTTTTCAGTCCTCCGTGCCAATGGAGCAAACTTTGAGCCCCGCCCAGGTTGAACTCATGACGGGTATCTTGAAGTCCATCTTACAGGATACAGACCTCCAGCAAGCGGCTTTGGTCACTCTTTCGAAAGGCCGGTTGCGACCTGTCGTGGACGCTGTAGTTTTTACAGCCGACCAGACTACGGCCGACAAGCTCAAGTTAGCCGTGTCCTTGTTTGAAATTACGGAAGGCAATGGCCAACTTGTGTCGAAAGTTGCAACAGATGCCGGTATTACCACCTTGCAGGAGTTCGCTGCTCGCTACTACACCAACGCTGACGGAACCAATTCATTGGGCCTCACGACGGAGCAGACGAGGTCGCTCCAGATTCGGCTCTATGCATTGGAGCCCACGGGCGTCATCTACAATCTTGTCACGTCCGGTTCCATTCCGGCCAAGGACTGTAGTCCAGACGCAGTTCGACAGGTTTTCGACATCGCAATGAGAGAAGGTTTCAATTTCCGCAAGGACAACGCTCGCAAACTCATCCTCGCTATTGAGTTAAAGCATGGAAGCGAATCCCAGGCTGAATTCTCCAAAGTCATTACTTTTGTCAAGGCCATCCAACGGCTCCAGGCAGTTGTTGAGCAGCCCGAGGACATTGGTCCGTTGCTGAAGTCTGGCTTGGACCTGCAATCCGCACAACAAATTGCCGCTATTCCGAAAGATGCTCTGATCAAAAAGTTGGAGCAACACGGTCTCCCGCGAAGCAAGATCGAGTCGATCTACGACAGGGCCTCCATCATCGCTACGAGGAATGAGATGACTTGGTCTGCCATTCTCAAGTCAAGAACCGAGAACGCCGTCGGTGCTGTCCGTGCAGAGGGCAACAGCATTCCCACCACAAAGTCTAACGACAAGTCCTCTCCATCTCTGCAAGCCAACCAAGCCAACGCAATCAACTACGGAAACATCTTTGACCAGATAGACGCTGCCGACTGCGATGACTGCTCATCCATACTGAGCCCATCTGCGTATTTTGTGGACCTGCTTCAACGTCTCGGCACAGTCGAAGTTCAAAGCAGTGCATCACCAACGCCACCTGCTGATGCCAAGATTAAGACAATGTACGATCAGCTTGCCGCACGTCGCCCTGATCTCACGGGTCTCAAGCTTTCGTGCGCAAACACCAACACTCCTATCAAGTATATCGACCTCGTCAACGAGATTCTCGAGTCATTCATCACCCTGACCCTCAACAAGAATATCACAAACGCAGTCAAGATCAAGACTTACGACCAGGATGCTGTTGATGGTTGCTCTGGGCCCAAGACAGCAAGTCCAGTCCCCCAGAATGTCAATATGGACGTTTACACGACTCTTGCCAAGACCATGGTCGCTCCCATGCACACCTTTCCATATAACCACGGTGTTGACACGGTTCGAACCTTGCTTGCCGGGAAGGGTCTATCTTTCTCTGAGCTGCTGGACGTCATGAAGCTGCCCGTGTCGACAAAACCAGGGTCCCTGGATGCGACTGGCCCCCCCGTTGGTTCGACCTGCGCGCGCGCCATTGCTGCTGAGTACCTCAATCTCCAACACGAAGACTTTCTGGCCATCACTCGAGATGCCTTCGAGTCCCTCGACTCAGTCAGAGACCGAGGCGGTCCATTGATCAACCTGACACGTTCAAAGTACGAGCAGCTTGTCGGGGTCAAAACCCCAGCCGAGTACTGGGGTTTCGGCTCAGATGAAGAGATGCTGAGCATGACGTCTGGCACTGGTCTGAGCAACATCGCAAGACAACTTCTTCCACGCTCTGGCATCAGTCTCCAGGATCTCATTGCAATCCTGAAGACCAATTTTATGGGCGGTCGCCTCATTATCACACCCACAGACGGCATGAATAAGCACTCGGACCGTCTCAAGACCATGACCCTACGGTCTTCTGCCCTTATTGATGCCAAGAATGGTGCGCTCAACATCGAACTCTGCCATGACTTGCAGGCTTTCATTCGGCTTAGACGCCTCACAGGTCTTCCCATTGAGGTCCTGGATGCTGCGGTGTCATGTCTGTCAGGAAACGGTCCGTCTGGTACCAGCAGCATCGATGGCTCCTTGATTGAGAAACTTGCGGCTGTCATGAAGTTGTGCAAGCTCGTCAAGATGGAAATTGATGAGTTACTCCCTCTGTGGGGTGACATCAACACCAACGGGCCTGGTTCACTCTACCAACGTCTTTTCTTAGGGCAGCAAACCGGCACTGCCGGGGCATTTCAAGCCAACGACCACGGCTACTTTCTTTCGGAAGAGACTGCGCCAGCTTTGTCAGAGCAGCGTAACTTCCTTGCTTCTGCCTTTGACATCGAAGCCAAAGATCTTGATATTCTTGCCCAGAACGCCAAACTCAAAGGAGACGAGAAGCTTTCCGTCAGCAATGTCTCACTGCTGTATCGACTGAATCTTGTTTGCGAGATCCTGAAGATTGACCACGAGCAATTTACCACCTTCTCTGCCGCACTGCCAGTTGGAACAGATCTCTTTGAGAGCCCGCAATCAACGCTGGCTGTGGTGGCAACTTGGTTGGGCCTTACGACATCCGGATGGAATCAGGATGAGCTATTGGAGCTCTTTGAACGGTCTTCAAAGGACAGCTCGCAGCGCTACCGCGACACGGCTTTACAAGTCTTACAGTCCTTGTCGGGGAATTCGACAACATCGGCCGACAGCAAAACTGACACAAATCCGGCCAAGACGCAACAAGACGCGTACGACGTTTACAAAGCGACGTTTGCCGACCTCAGCGCCGACATTTTCTTAAAGGCTATGACCGAAGTTCGTGTTACGGAACGCGACGGGAGCTCTGTTACGATTGGCAATGTCTTTGCGGTAGCAAAGGCAGCGGTCTCTACCGAAGCTGTGGCCCTTATTGAGGAGGCTTATGAAGCAGTGGCAAAGATGTCTCTGCTTTCGAAGAAGTTCGAACTTACCACGGAAGAGCTCCAAGATATCCTGTCGTCTTCATCTAGCATCATGCCCGCCTTCGACATCAGGAGTATCAACATGTGCGATGCTTCCAGACTTCAGAAGTACAAGGAGTTGAAGAAGTCTGTCGCAAAAGGCCGGCCGGGACTTCTCCAGTTCCTGAAGTGGGCGCGCACTAAGGGCCGAATTGGAAAGGTTCACGAGCATATCAGCAGCTCAATGGGCTGGAATGATTCTAAAGTACAGACAATTATGGCAATCAAGCATGGCAACGTTACGGAGAACCAACTTGCAGACATATGCTCTGACTTCGGGCAACTCAGATCACTTCAGGAGATCATCGATTTCACATTAAAGCCTGGCCTGGGAAATATCACCTTGGATCAGCTCTTCGCTCTGGCAGAGCCACGCTCTCTGGACAAGACGTTGGAAAAGAGCTTTGAGGATGCTGTCGCCCTTCAAAATGCCAACATACCTGGTTCTGCCTCAGGCGTCGCAGACCTGGCCAACACCGCCCTTGGCGCAGCTTTCGACACGTTGCGAGAACATCGGCGCTCGGCTCTGACCAATTACCTCCTCAACCAAAAGTATTTCATCGACAAAGGCTTTGTCACTGGCGACAACCTTTTCGAGTTCTTTTGGATCGATGTCAACATGGGAGCTACCCTGGAGACATCTCGAATGAAACAGGCCATCTCCACCATCCAACTCTTTGTCCACAGATGCTTGACGGGTATGGAAACTGGGTTCACGATCCTCCCCAGCTTTCTCGTCAACTTCCAGAAGGAGTGGCAAACTCTCTCCAAGTATACGCTGTGGGAGGCCAACCGCCGCGTGTTTCTCTTCCCTGAGAACTGGGCAGACCCGACGCTGCGAGACAACAAGACGGAACTGTTCAAGGAGTTTGAGTCAGCCATCTCCAGGAACGATATCAGCATCAGCTCCATCGGTGCTGCTATTAGAAACTACGTGTATGGTGTCAACACGGTGGCCAATCTGAATGTGCAGGCGTATCTATGGGAGAGAGCCCCCGGCAACGCAGGAAACTTCCATTTCTTTGCGCGGACCCGCACAAGCCCATACCAGTTCTACTATAGAAAGGTGGAGGTCATTGACTTTGGGGAGAAGTTCCCTCGATGGCACGCGTGGGAGAAGGTCGACGTGGCTGTTCGTCCGTTCGAAGCAGACTCCACGGGGAAGACGATGGAAGATCCCGGGTGCTACATGATACCCGTCATGGTTCGTGGAAGACTCTACCTTTTCATTCCCCAGTTGGAGCGCAAGGTCACTCCTGCCAAAACACCCACGGACTCGTTCGAGACTCTGGGAACAAAAAGCCCTTCTGTGCTGAATATTTCTGAGTACCACTGGGAGATCAAGCTTGCTTGGTCAGAGTACCGCAACGGCAAGTGGTCACCCTCTGTCACCAGCCCGGCGGCCATTCTCGTCAACAAGACCGACACTGGAAACCAGCTTCCAGAGGCATCTCAGTTTCAGTTCAGAGTCCGTACTCGGGACATGGCTTCTACAACCAAGGGCGCTGACACCTATGTCTCGGCAAGCTACGGGCCGGGTATCAACGGAGTGTTGGTGATCGATGTTGATGCTTGGTCGGACCCTATTCCTACCGATGGTGCAGCCGCGTCACACAAATCGTACCGTGTTGGTCGGTTTGAGATGACCGAGATGGCTCTGTCTGCAGTGTCCAGCTCTGAGTTGTCCAAGCCTGCCGACTCCAAGACGTTGCCCACGTCTTTCTCCAAGCTGCCATGGAAGGTCTCCGGGCAATCGCTCGTCCCGAACGTAGCTGTCACGAACCCTTCCGGTATCAACTCAGTCATCTTGGCCAATGCGGAAAAGACGGAAGCGACCAAGATCTCGTGGACGGTCTCGTTCGATGACTCTCAGTTTGCAAAGCCCACGGCTCTTGTTGTTGATGTTCAGACCAAAGCCGGGGGTAACGATACATACTTTGCGAGACCCAGCAACAACCTGGACGATAAGACCAGCTCGCAAGAATCCAAGGGTGCGGCATACTTCTCGCGGTTCGACAACCCCGTCGCTCCTCGAATGGTGGATGTTGCTAGTACTGGCGACAACCTGGAAGCGGTTTACAAGACGCTCAATGGCCTTCGACGAGGGACTGAAGAAAAAGAGGTCAATCGGTATGAAGCCGAGGTGTTTGCGTCAACATTCGGCCTGCATTTGGACCGAATCTACCAAGAAGAGATATCTTCTTACTCGCAATACACCTGGGAGATGGGCGTTCACCTCGTGTCTCTTCTTATGGAGACCCTGCAGTCGACTCAGCAGTTTGACTTGGCTCTTCAAATTGCTCGCCTCACCTTTGATCCGTCCATTCACGGGACGGGAACGAATAGATGCTGGAAGTTCGCACCCTTCAAAGACACGAGCCGCATCGGTGTCAAGCCCGTCAATGAGCTACTTCAATCGCTGAAATCGAGCGAGGATGGCCAAAAGACGATGACGGATGTGGCCATCTACAACTGGAGACAGCGCCCGTTTGACCCTCACGCGATCGCTCGTGGAAGGCCTGTGACCTACATGAAGAGGATGGTGATGAAGTACACCGAGATCCTGATCGACGCCGGCGATGTCTACTTCCGTCAGAACACCCTTGAGAGCATTCCACTGGCCCTTCAGCGCTACGTCGAGGCCTCTCATCTCTTCGGGCCGCGTCCAGCTAGGGTGCCAAAGCCCGGTACCAGAACGCCCAAGTCCTATATCGGGCTCAAGAGACTTCTTGACACCTTCTCCAATGCGAGCATTGACATGGAGCTGGAGTTTCCCTTCTGTGTCGTCGCTGGTGCAGGAAGTCAATCTGGCACTGGGACCCCGTTGGCCGGTATTCTGAACACGACGTACTTTTGTGTTCCTCAGAATCCCAAGCTCGCGGAGCTCAGGGACCGTATCGATGACCGCTTGTTCAAAATCAGGAACGGTCGTGACATCAACGGCAATGCCCAGAGACTCGCCCTTTTCGAGCCCCCCATGGATCCCGGTGCACTCGTCGCAAGCGCAGCCAAGGGAGCACTGTCCACCGCGCTTCTGATGGCCGACGCAGACGCGCCCATGCCCAACTACAGGTTCCAGTACCTGCTCCAGAGAGCTCTGGAGCTCTGCAACGAGATAAAATCTGTTGAAAGTGCCTATCTGTCCGCTGTTGAGAAAAGAGATTCCGAGGCTCTGTCGCTCCTCAAGAGCCAGCAGGATATCGCGCTCCAGAACGCGCTTGCAGAGTCCAAGAAGCTCCAGCGAGACGAGGCACTCACCACCCTCGCATCTCAACAGGAGACGCGCAAGTCCCACGAGAGCAGACTGCGCTTCTATCTCGCTCTCATGGGCGAGAAAACCACTATCCCCGGACCAGACGAGGAATGGGTAGATCTCCAGCAGAGCTTCGGGCGCGTGACCAAATGCGACCTCCGGATGAACAGCTGGGAAGCAGAAGAGATGCAGAGAACAAACGACTCAAGCGACCGCGCCCTCGCCGCATCAACAATGGAAGCCACAGGATCCACCCTCCGTCTCCTCCCGCACATGACCGTCAACGCATCCCTCTTCGGCATCGGCCCATCCATGAAAATCGACTCTCACAACGTCGCCGACTGTCTAAGGGGACTGGCCACCGTCACTCAGCTGTGGTCCCAAATAGCCGGCATCGAAGCATCTCAAGCAGGCCGCAAAGGCCAAATGATCCGCCAACTGCAAGAACGCCGGCACCAAGCCAACCAAGCCGGTCGAGACATCAAGAGCACAGACAGACAGATCGCCGCGGCCAAAGTCCGAATCGCCATCGCCGACGCCGACAACAAGCAGCACGCCCTGGTCATCAAGAACGCCGCCGACTCCGACGCCTGGCTTCGCTCCAAATACACCAGCGAAGCCCTCTACGCCTGGATGGAAAAGTCAATCCGCACCACAGCCTACGAAACGTACAAGCTCGCCGCCCAGTTCGCCCGCCAAGTCGAAAAGACTTACCTCTTTGAAACCAACGCCCTGGGGACGGCCACACGCTTCCTCCGTCCGGAGGGTTACTGGGATAGTTCCCGCAGTGGCCTCGGCGCGGCGCAGGCTCTCTACCTCGACCTGAAGAAGATGGAGGCGGCCTACATCCAGACCCCGTCCCACAGCTTCGAGATCACCAAGAGCGTTTCCCTGCGACAGATCAACCCCCTCGCCTTGCTCGAACTGCGAACAACAGGGAAATGCAATTTTTCTGTCCCGGAGATCCTGTTCGATATGGATTTTCCGGGCCATTACATGCGGCGGATCAAGTCTGTCTCTGTGACGGTGCCGGCTGTGTTTGGGCCGCACGCTAGTTTGAACTGCACGCTCACGTTGCTGTCGCACAAGTACCGCGTTTCGGCTTCGGCGGCGGGTCCGTACGGGGAGAAGGAGGACGGGGGCGGTGACAGCAGGTTTAGGGGTGATCCCGTGCCAGTCAAGTCGGTTGCCATCAGCAGTGGGCAGCAGGATGCCGGGTTGTTTGAGTTGAATTTCAAGGACGAGAGATATCTACCGTTTGAGGGGGCGGGGGTGATTAGCGAGTGGAAGATGGAGCTTCCTACAGCTGTGAGGCAGTTCGACTACGAGACCATCGCCGATGTGGTGATGCAGTTCAGGTATACATCTCGGGCTGACGACCTGCTGAAGCCCGCGGCGGAGGGTGCAGTGAGGGCGCTGATGGGAGCGGCTGGCGGGAAGAGCTGTTACGCGTTCTTGGACGTGGTGAATGACTTTCCGGGAGAGTGGCACTCGTCTGTGAGGCGGACCGGCGGGTCAGGGAAAGTTGTCATGGGGGATATGTTGGGGCGGATGCCGTTCTGGGCTCGGGATAGCAGGAAGAAGGTGGTGGCTAGCCAGGTTCATGTTGTGACTGATGCGAGGGTGAATGAGCTTGTCATTCAGCCGTCAGAGGGAAAGCCAGTCACGTTGACGAGTCAAGGTTTGTTCCAGCCCAGTTCAGATTTGTATCTGATTCGGTCTTCGAGTCCTGTCAGACTGACGGTTTCGAACTGGACGGTGAGCTTGGAACAGGAGGCGGCGCAGATGGCGAAGAGGTTCTATATGGTGATGGAATACTCTGTTCGTGATGCTTAGGTAGGAGGTTGAATGAGTGTGAAGTGATGGTTGTTTTGACGTTTATCTGTTTTATCTACGCACCTCTGCTATTACTTTCACAATTCACTCAGTTATGCCGGATAATTATTTGTAGAACTAAGGTCATTGCCATCAGATCAGAATGTGTTTTGGGGTATTCAGGGGTATTCAGGGGTCTCATGATATTGGGCCATCGATCTTTTCATTTGATATGGCATCTCCAAAATCATGAAGCATTCTCGGTTGATTCTCTTTCTAGCACAGACATCTCAAGCTTTCTTCAATCGATGGTGTCTGGGGGTGGTGAAGATGTCCAGTTGAGGTATACGGGACGCTATTGGCGTGCCAAAGTGACGGCGAGACACTCAAAGGAACGTCAAACACATGAGCTTTAGGGTACAAAACAATTCTAGTTCCAAATATCTTGTTATTGCAGTCTTGTGGCCTACTAATTCTAAAATTGACAATGGAAACGAGTGTGTGCGTTCGGCAAGCGGTTACCAATGGAAAAATGCCCTTCCACAATCCGTACCTTCAAACTATAACACCCCGCGCGATCAGACTCAAACTCCAGAATCCTTTGTTTTGTCGACAGCGGCTTCGTCAGCAGCAGCCTCCTTCTCGCCACCCTCCTTCTTCTCATGAGCAGCCTTCTTCTCGGCGCCCTCCTTTTTCTCAGCAGCAGCCTTCTCAGCAGCCTCCTTCTTAGCAACCTCTGCCGCTCTAGCTTCAGGGTTCGGCGCAAGCACAACGATGGAGTTGCAGTTCCCACTGTTGATAGGACCATCGGCAGGCGGCTCGGTGGGATCGTTCTCGTCCCTGAAGGACTCATACACGGTGTGCGTGTAACTGCCTTCACCTCCAGTCCGGATAAAGAACTTGAACCCAACATAACCGCCGGGCGGGACAATGATGGCCTGCTCCTTCTTCGCGCTCACAATGGCCTGCCACAAGATGATGTCACTGTTGGCGATTTGACCAATCTGCGACAGTCCAATCTTCTTGTCGGCCCCATCGATACCTTCAGATATGTCAAGGTCGATAGTGTACTTGGGCTCTGACTCTTCGTCGCCCGCCTTGGTCTCGGAACCTGGCTGGATCTGAGCCGCGCCTTTGGTGTCTGCGCCAGCTCGTTGAATGTGTGCCGCGTCGAACAAGTTACCTGGTCCCTTTCCGGCTTTGAAGGTGACGGATAGATGGCCGAAGTACTGCTCGCTGCCTGTGTTGTTCGTGGCGAGGATCTTGATCTCAGCCGTGGTCATCTCCTTCAACTCGCTCGCCGCCGGGTTGGTTTGGACGGTGCTCCAGGTCATCTTCTGCCTGGGAGCGCAGACGCCCGAGCTGACCGTCACCGGGTTCTCCGGTGGCCTGACAATCTGCGGCAGAGCTGCTTTGTGCGGCACAGGAACCTGAATGACCTCGCCCTTTTGAAGCCTGTGAAAGCACGTATTAGAGAGATGAAGTGTTGGATGAGCAAGTCAATGGTGCTTGAACTTACGGGAGGTACTCCAACTCAGCAAGGACATTGCCATGGCGGTTGATGCAAGGGTTCAAGAACCGCAGCGTACCGTTGCCGGGGTACACAAACTTGCCCGTGTTGATCAAACCGTTCTGGAGGTCCTTGACACAAACATCCAGGGATGTCTTGAGCTTCTGCTTGAACTCGGCCGCTATCTCATTGTCCTGGCCTGATGGGGTTGTCACTCCGGTTTGCACCTCCTTGTTTGGCACGACCTCAAGGTTGGCAACATTGCCGTTGACTTCCTTCTTATCGACCACAATGTTGAGCACACCGTTGTTTGCGTCTGCCAGGGTGATGTCGAAATTCCATGTGATCTTGTAGGTCAACCTGCCCAACAGACCCAGGTCAGCAAGCCGAAAGACAATCTTTGGGCCGTATCATCGCGGGGGGAAAGGATTGATGCTGCATGCATGCTTACTTCAGTTTGCCATAGATCTCCCTCTCATTGTTGAAGTCATTGGTGTGGCACCACTTGCTGTCATAGACGTATGTTGTCTCTCCAGCAATGTGGAATGTCTTGCCGCCGCTCTCCCAGGTGACCTTGACGCTGGCATCCGCTGGGAAAGAAGGTTAGCTGACTTGAAAAACACCCATTCGGAATACGCAAGGGACTCACATTGGTGGACGTATTTGTGGTGAGAGCTCGGATCAAATGCGTAGTCGGCGCACTGCTGAATATTGTGCTTTTTGAACTCATAGTAGGCGACACTGTTGTCTTCGACATGTGCTGCAGGGTAACGCTTGTAGTCGTAGACGGCATCGTTGGACTTGGAATGATTGGGATCAAGGCCGACGCTGTACTCCCAATTCACCGTATGGTCGCCGTAACCGCGGTTGTCTTTGATCCACGAGACAGGTTGCACGTAGATGTCACTGGCTTGGTTGAGAGCCTTGATGCGCGGCAAGAGGTAGCTCTCGAGAAAGTGCTTGTAGCCGAGAACGAAAGCGCCATCGATTTGGTCATCCGAGTCCGTCAGAGTTGTTCCACGGGTGACAAAGTTGCCATGGTGGTTCAAGGTCAGGTTCTTGGGCCTCTCGTGGTTGTCGACCATCTCGCAGTACAGGAGACAGTTCAGCGAGGTGTCTGCTTGGAGCGGGGTGCGAGACTCAACCTCACGCATCTTGGCCCCATGGACAGGATCCTTGTAGGGGTGGATCTGTTGGAAAAGATAGGTCGGGGCTGACAAGTGACATGTTAGGTTTGCATCGAAAATATTAAGGGGTCAACGTACTGTACAGAGGCTTCTGAGGATCGACTGGGAATACTAATGTTAGCTTCTAGTTCAAGTGATCTGTTGGTGGGAGCTGCTTACTCGTCGAAGGATCTTTCAGTGAAAAAGTAACTCCCAAAGTGGAACGCCCTCTCTCCTCCTGCTTCTTGGCCCAGCCAGACAGGATGCTGTTAAGGGTGGCACTGGCATTGCCCGCTGGGTCGAACTCATCGCACCATTCCTTGTAAGTCTTTGGGTTCTTTGTCTTCTCGTTGATCCCAAAAGTGCTGTACTTCGGCAATGGGTTGCCCCATTTCGCGGCTTCACCATACGTCAGCAGGCCGAATGCATTCTCAGCGTTCAAGATGTACACGTACTCGAGATCTGCGCAAAGATACGCTCGGCCGTATAGTCTCCAGGCACGGCAAAGACCTGCTTGGTGACATCGGTTGACTTTGGCTGGCCGGTTTCAGTGACACCAAGTACTTCCTGAGTTCCAATGGGACAGTCAACGGTCAAGATCCAGCCGTCCATAGGAATCTCAACGAGGCCATTGGCGGAACGAAAACGACCCGTTTTGAACCTGAAGCCAAATTGTTAACACAACAGCTCGGGAACGTAGAGATCAAACCCACTCACCGAATCTGGAACAAAACATCTTTGATCTTTGAGGAGTTGTCGCTAGGAATGATGATCTGGGAGGGGTGGATGACAGCTTCAATACTACCGACAGTAGGGTCATCAAAGTTGATCTTGCTCATAGCAGGATACAACTCGAAGAGGTGAGCAAAGTTCTTGTTGATGATCTGCTCGGTGAACGCCACGATCTCATCGTACTGAGACTCATTGTCGCCGACTCTGACGCCGAGGCGGGACTGGATGTCCTCAGGGGTTGGCGGAGTGGGCATGGCGATGGTTGTTAAGGTAGGCACTGATGTGGACTGTGGGATTGTGCAAAAGAAAGTATGCTGAGGAAAGCTGCGCTTTCTAAGAGTAGATCAAAGTGATGATGGCGATATCGACATGTTATCTGTTTCTCTAGACCTTGGCCATCAATCAGCTCTCCATAAGATACCAAGTTACGGGATCTACCTTACCTGATCACAGGATGAATGAGGTAGGTGCTTGCAGGCGCTCGTCTATTCTCTCTGGTTTGCAGATTCTTCTCAATTCTCTCTAGTTTGCAGTTGCTGACCGCCAAACACAGGTGATAGTGACCTCATGAATGCTTGCTCCGCAACTGGGTTTCCTCAGCTTTGACTTTACCAGCACCTTTGCCCATTCTGTGTTCCTAACTGTCGAACACAGGTGATATTGCCTCATACCTGTGCCTCAGCTTTGAAGACACCGGCGTCTATGCCCTTTCCGCGTTTCTGATCTTCAGATGGGAGTGATATTGGCATCATGATGGCTAGTGCACAGCTGAAACCTCACAGCTTCTATCACATCAGCGCCTATGCCATTTCTGAGCTCTTGATCGTCAATTGCAGGTAATATTGGCATCGTGATGACTCGATCATAGCTGAAAATACCTACTCAGCGATGGCCAGCCCAGCGTCTATGTCATTGTCGGGTTGCTGCTTGTCAAAGAGAGTGATAGTGGCATCATTATTGCTGTTTTACAGCTGTGGCTTCTCAACTGACCCGGGTATTGATCACTGATCTTCAAACGCAAGTGATAGCAGGATCACGATGTCTGGTTGACCACCCAACTTCAGCTTTGGTCGAACCGGTGGCTATGCCCTTTTCAGGGCCCGATTAACCTAAATGATACGATCTCCGTCACATTGGAAGTCTAGGAAAGTCTAGAACTGGACAGGTCAGAGCGATTGCCTGCTGAATAATGCGAGCTGCAACACAGTGCACAAGGTACAAGTGAGAATAGTCTGAAGAAGCCGTGAATTTATCATAGGGGTGTGTAGAAAACCTGAAGGTACCTGCAGGAGATCATTTTCTCCGAAAGAACTATACCCTTTCCATATAGGTCAGTTAGGTATCTTGTCGAAGACCCAATATGTGATGTCATGGCTCACAAAACCGAGATTTCAATCTTACCTGATATTTATTGATCTAGCCATCCCCACTGTCTGCTGGGGGTACCACAGTACCATGTAGGTGTAAGATGGAATCTAACAACCAACTTCAACATGAGGTCGTTCGAATGGTGGTTGGAAGCTCACAACCCCTACCTTTTGCTGCCGACCTACCTAGATACCTTACTGTGATACCTTGCTTGATTGATGTCCCGAATCTCGGAGCCTCATTGCCAACTGAGGTTCTTTTTTTGTTTCCACAACATGAACACTCTGGTCTAGAACATCATTCAGCCATCCACAGTCGGCTACAGCGCATTGGTGCTCATCGTCCGACCTTCGGATTCCGGAATATCTTCGGGAACTTTGATGCGGCGTCGGCACAGCTGCTACTAGCACGAGGTGAACTGGCTCTTCACCTGCACACCGGCTGCATGACCTATCACAACAGCAGGCCATGAAAGCGTTCATCACATTGCAATAGCGGCTTTCACCTCTCCAAATAACGCAATGATGTTCAACCACTTACGCATATGCGTCATGCCAGTGTTCTCGTGGTGTTTGCGGATGTGATTGGCCGCTCCGCAGTGACGTCCGGGCTTTGTGCTTCAGCTATGCCACTACTTCGAAGCTAGCCCGTAACGAGATCCTCAGCTGCTATCTAGCTGATCACCGCCCTCTTTAGCCCTGTTCGACAGCAGCGCAACCAGGTCTAGACTCAATACCTTGCTGTCCTCGGTACGTACCTACCTAAGGTACACCAACAAGTGAACCATTCGCGGAAGACAGGGTTGTGAGTTGAAGATGTCCTCGAAATGAGTTTCTGTTGTTTCCACATCGTGGATATAAGGACGCCTGTCTCTCCGACATTCAAGCACTTCTAGACATCACCGCTCACACAAATCTGTCTGACACACAGCATTCCAACTCAACAAGATTAACCTTCAACACCTTCACTCAAGATGCCTTCTGAGTCCACCCGCAGCGATCCCCCCGGATCCACCCGCAACTACGGAGAGTTCTTCTCCTGGTTTGATGTAAGATACACACCAGTTTTCTGTTGAGCCCCGTCAAGTCTAACAGATCACAAACAGACTGTCTACGGTGAGGACAAGCCCGGAGACTCCATCAACGAGATCAACGGTCAGTCCGCCGACATCAACAAGGGTTTCGGCGGCGAGTACGTCTGGCTCATCCCCAGGCGCGCTCCCAGACCCAAAATGATGGTCGACAATTTCTGGACCGACATCCGCGGCAGCGCCGACGGCAACCGCAATGATGACCTGGCCAAGGGTGCCGGCGGCGACTACCGCTACTTCTCGTGGTCCAACAATATGGATGCCACTAAGTAAGTTGTTCCAAGTCCTGTTAGTTTTTTCCCTGGAGAACAGTAGCTAACCACTCTTGCTTTACCAGCTTCGTTACCGATGTTGCTCTCTGGAGAACCGGTGATGAGCAGGGAAGCCCTCCCGGTGGCTGGGACCGCATGTCGGGTGACATCAACAAGGGTCGTGGCGGCGATTACTTGTATCTCGTCTGGCGTACAAAGCAGTACTGCGGACCCAAGGATTTCTAAGTAGGTAGCTGATTCTGGGTACTCTGGGTTTTGAGGTGGAGAGCGATTATGGTAGATACCCGGTATCTACCTAGCTACATCGTCCATAGTTTTACGGGTCGTCCGTGAATTTAAATTATCCGCCTTGCTTCGCAGCCGTTGTGGTGGCACGCTATTATCGTCGATGCTTCTGCGTGATAGCTGTGGTTGTTAATGATGGGTGGTGGCGAGAGGGATGGGTTTTAGAGTAAAGGAAATGTGGAAAAGGTACAAGCGACGGGGAGTGTGCATGATTTAGGTAGGTATCATCACTCTATGTTTGGATCAGTTTCACTGGCGAATAGGTACCAGTTGACGGGACTAACAGTTGAACCGTTCTGTCGTGCCACTTCTTCAGCTTTCAATAAGCTATCTGCGTGAACTGCATCTTACGGTCTCACCAGGCTCCGCCACCCTCTGCCCATTTCTGGACCCTTCATGGTCCTGATATTGCTGACCAATTAATAAGTTGCTTAGTAGACAATATTGAAGCTCTTGATTGACGCCCCATTACGACTTCCGTAGTTATTTACTTAAAAGCTCGAGAACCCTCTAAAATAGTTAATACCGGCGTATACCATTAACCGGCAGCTTAATCCCACAAACTTATTAGTAATATAGAATATACGTTCTATAATATATCGCCCGACTAAAATAAAAAATAAATATTAAAGTGGTTAGTACCGCCGGTCTAATTAACAGGATTTTAGGTTTAGTTTTAAGTATTACCCAGAAAGTAAAATCTATTAAACTACTAAGTGTCACGGCGCTGGCACGTAACTTATAGGTCTGTAGGATCCTGGGCGCGTGGGCCATGTGGGGCTCTGGGAGCGACCGGGTAGTCAAAGCTTTCCTTCGTTAAAAAGTCTGCTTCGAAGCCCTGGATTGATTTTTGCTTCTTTTCTTCTTTACCTTGCAATTCAATCAATTTGGTGTGATAACTGTTTGCCTTTGTCTCAGACTTTCTAGCCAATCCGTAACACTAAGTTTATAAAATAATTATTAATGTGTGGGTACTACTAAGTGCCCTACTTACTGCCCTACAAATTAATATTACAGTGGGTAGTACTGCTATAAACAGTAGTGGAACTTCCCGGCTTGGATCCCTTTAGAATATTCTTTATAAGGGACCTTTAAAGGCTTACAGGGCTACTGTGGCCTGAGGCTTAGTCAATAGATACTAGAACCTTCTAAAGTAGCTACAATCTTACGCAGTAAGTTGCCACAATAGTGTGATTTACAGGGCATCTTTGCTACCGAAGGTTCTATGGATTTCCGTGAGTCTACACTAGACCCACCTAAGCCCAACAAATACCTCAAAGTAGTATAGGGGCTTCCAGGGCCTACAGAACCTACAGTAGGCCTACGAAGGCCTATATATAGACCTCTCCTCTCTCCTATAGAATAGTTCTTTTCTTTCTTTCCTTAAGGGCTAAAGTTTAAAGCTAAGGCCAAAAGCAATAAAGGTAATTCTTATTCTTTATACTTTACTGTATTACAGTACTTTACCTTCCTTCGGCACTACCGTCGTATCCTCCCGCTTCCGCTTACGCACTACTATATTTTACAGCAACCCTATATAGGTTTTATATTATAGGCCTATCAGGGCTCACCAGCTAACAAGTTATAAGCCCGGGCAACCACCTAGCCCAGAATCTAGCTTACTTGTGCGCTTCTAGTCGACGTACTTACAGCACTATACTATAAGCTATACGGCTTCTTACTAAGAAGCCTTTTCCAGTGGAATTAGCGCTGTACCACAGGCTTTTCTACTGCTGTGATTACAAATTTGGCTAATACCTTTAGGCCAATCGTCGACTTACAGCACTATACTATATGCTATACAGCTTCCGAGAAGCCTACTCATTAACCTATACGGTTATTTCCACCAAGTCCTCGCCTTTACTATAGCTAACCAGCCTATAGACCAAGACCACTTAGGTGTCACAGAGGCTACTAGCCCTATAGTACAGGCCTTACAGGCCCGTATCGACACCATTAAGGACAGGCTTCGGCAGGTCATATCACTACTTGAAGCCCAGGCTACTAAACAGCCAGTAGCTATACCGGCCACCCACATTACCGAGCCTTCCGTAGCTCTAGCTGCTTCAGTACCTTCAGCACCTGTTACAGAACCTTTTACAGCGACCTTCAGCACACTTACCACAAAAGAGCTCGTTAAATAGTCCCTAAACCTCGCTAAACGATAGCGCCTTTCAGGACCCGACAACTACCAACAGTGGCACCAGGCCATTTCCATACAATTTAGGGCCCTTGGAATACCTAAATTTCTGGAGAATCCTGATTCGGTAGACGCCCGGCTTTCTGACCCACAGAAGGCAGCCCTGCTATTGACCCTCAGAAATACACTAAAGGAAGGCCCGTTATCCACTATAGCCTTCGAAACCGACCCCGTTGTGGCCTATAAGCGCCTACGCTCACAGTACGCTCCGGCGCACCCTACCCTCCGAGACGAGCTATATAAGGCCTACCACCTATCACAGTTAACCCAACAGCAGGCCGCGCCACATGTGGGGCGCAGGACGTCCCTAGCCAATCATTAGAGAAGTCAGGAGACAGCCAATCAGGGCTGG